CGCAGTGTGCACCCCTGGACCTCAACCGCAAGGATCCGATCGCAGTGCGCACCGCTGGACCTCAACCGCAAGGATCCGATCGCAGTGTGCACCGCTGGACCTCCACCAGATAGTTTGCCAGATAAAATGCCAGATAGAATGCCAGGTAGATTGCCAGATATAATGCGGCAAGAAGATATGCCAGATAGTATGCCAAATAGTGTGTCAGATAGATTGCTAGATACATTGCCAGATAGAATGCCAGAAAATATGCCAGATAGAAGTCAGATAAAATGCCAGATAGAATGCCAGATATGCCAGATAGAATGACAGATAGTATGCCAGACAAAATGCCAGATAGTATGCCAGACAAAATGCCAGATAGTATGCCAGACAGTATGCCAGATAGTTTGCCAGATAAAATGCCAGATAGAATGCCAGGTAGATTGCCAGATAGAATGCTGCAAGAAGATATGCCAGATAGCATGCCAAATAGTGTGCCAGATAGATTGCTAGATACATTGCCAGATAGAATGCCAGAAAATATGCCAGATAGAATGCCAGAAGATATGCCAGATAGAATGACAGATAGTATGCCAGACAAAATGCCAGATAGTATGCCAGACAGTATGCCAGATAGTATGTCAGATAGATTGCCAGATAGAATGGCAGCTTGAATGTCATGGTGGGGATCGCTCGAAGTAAAGTACTTTTTTGATTGTTGTTTTGATCCCTTACCCTTGTACCAGGGGTGAGAGCTTATGTAGTGGGCAGGTGACAAGGGAGACGCGCGTCTTCCAGAACACTCTGTTTTCTTGCAGCTAATACGGGTGGAAGGGATCGCAAGAAGTGATGTGATCCGTTAAAGGCAGGAGAGGGAACAGAATGCAGCGGGCCTGCTGCGAGTTGCTTGCGGCGCCCTTTTTCTGTGGTGAAGAGGCCTTTTAACGGGCATCCCATATGGGGTGGGAGTTCATGGGGAGGAGAGGCATCGCGGGGGAGGATGTGACCCAAGGAGAAGAGGTGGGTCACCAGGGAAGCGAGAAGTGCGTCGCTCAGCGCTCTGGAGAGAACGTGATAGGAGTCTATGATAGGAGAGGGAAGGGGGCAACGTGACGGGAAAAGAGGTTGGAAACGCAGCAGGAAAGTGAGATGTGCGTCTCCAAACCATCACTTTCTCCTAGTGAATAGAATTGGTGGGGAACGTCAGTGGTTGGGCTTTGGTGCGGATCGAAGTTCTGGCTACGCACTGCAAGAGTGGATGGGAGCGGACGCAGGTTTATGAGTCCATCCACAAAACACGGGGCCAAGCTGCAGACAAGCAATGACTTCGGGGTGCATTTTTCTTCCAAGTGCCTCTTCCTCAAAAGAAAAGGGCACCCCGCCCCCCCCCCCACCGGTGACTGAAGGCCTGTCATGTCGGCCTCACCTTCTGCCTCCCAACGCTTCCCCTGTGCTCTCGCGTTCACCCCTGTTGACAATATTCATTTCTCTTTACGGAGGCTGGCTTTCGTCCCCTCCCTTCTCAGGTATATAGACAGACGTACAACAAATGAATGTGAGACGCAATATTGCTTTCCGGTTCTTTCTAACTGGAGTGTGGTAAGCCAGCTGATGCTGCAGGCCAGGAAACTTACGATGCTCTGACAAGTCTGCAGCAGGCTTGAACATGTACAAGCTCTCAAGTGACAATCTATCCATGTGTGTTGGTGCTTGCAGAAGCAGCAGTATTTCATGAGTGCAAATGCAGAGCCAATCGGCTGTGTATCTATATGGTTCACCCGTTTACCACTTTTCACTGTAGACAAGCCATCCTGTTGGCTTCCATTTTGTTGAAATTTTTGTCGCCTGGAAAGGTCTGTAGTGACTGTAGTGTTTCTTTGTCAATCTTGTTGCCTGTCTCAGGACATGCTTGCAGTGATGCAAGAAGTCCGCAGTTTGCACGAGCGGTGCAACACCCTGCAGGACAATGCAGCAATTTTCAATAGCATCCCTCATCTCTCATTTTTTTACTCGACATTTGCCAATGGAATGAAAATTCATGCAGATTCTAGTTATATAGTGGATGTTTCAAAGCACACCAACTAGCAAAAAAACAAGTGATTGGCCACAGGATCATCTTGATGCACGCAGCAGCTCTGAACTGCGGAGCTCGAAGCGACTTCAGGAGAGCCCAGTCAGGGGTGATGTTTTTGTTTTGAGCCACGACTGGGAAGATGGAAGAGGATGGAAAGGGTCCTGAGCGTCCAGGTGGTTGTGCACAAACAAACATGGATTGTGCGCAGTTGACTTCAGGAGCAACATCTGAAGCTGGAACAGCTTCGAGCAGACGGTCAGGACTTTCAGCAGCCTTCTTTCCACATGGACAATTTTGGAAGTGTGTTCCACACCAAACCGTCCAAACCGCTCTGAATTTTTGAAGCAACTGGATGGGACGGAGCGACTCTTGGAGGACTGCGCTGCACGAGTGGAAGAACACGAGGTGCGTCTAGGTGTGGCCAGATCCAAAGTGGAAACTCAGGAGCGGGCGCTGTCCAAAAGAACAGAGAAGTCCTTGAAGAGAGACTTGGAACATGAATACACACTGAGAACAAGAGAAAGACGAAACGTTGATTAAACTTCATGGTTTCAATGTGGGAAAGTGCAATCTGGAACAGAGCAACACAGTCCCTACTAGTGTGGCTACATGGGCTGTCGGTGGGCTGTCGCAAGGATCAGCGCCTGGCATCTTTGGGTGATCGCATGGAACGAGCTTTGCAAGGAACAGAAGACAAATTGTTCAAAGCTTCTTGTTAGTAGTAGCGATGCCCTTGTTACTAGTAGCAAACTTTGCACACACTTCTGTAAGCAGCTAAGACAATGGTTTCAAGACGCACCGCTGATTTTCATGCACTCCTGGAATGGTGGGGCATATTTTGCATTCAAGTTCATGCGATGCAAGTTTGCGCCGTGGGCCGCTCGCATACTTTTACCGACTTGATCACTCATTCGGGCACTTGATCGTGCATTCACCGCTGGCCTTGCGGAGGCGAAGCCCTCTTGCCATACGTAGAGATGCATTGTCACCAGGCAAGGGCGCTACTATATAGTATGCTCCTGGCATCGCTACTAGGAGCAATGACGCTACTAGGGGCTCCTGGCCTTACTACTAGGAACAAGAAGCTACTAGTAGCTCCTGGCATTGCTACTAGGAGCAATGACGCTACTAGGGGCTCCTGGCCTCACTACTAGGAACAAGAAGCTACTAGTAGCTCCTGGCATCGCTACTAGGAGCAATGACGCTACTAGCGGCTCCTGGCCTCACTACTAGGAACAAGAAGCTACTAGTAGCTCCTGGCATCGCTACTAGGAGCAATGACGCTACTAGGGGCTCCTGGCCTTACTACTAGGAACAAGAAGCTACTAGTAGCTCCTGGCATCGCTACTAGGAGCAAGGATGCCAAAGCAGATGTAAAGCACTTGTGAGCTTTAAAGCGTTGTGAGGCCGTCCTGAAGCTTAGAAGTGAGCTGATGGCCTGGTGTGCTGATTCCTTTTCTGGCATGAGGCACTGACAGACATATGACATATGTGTCTTTCAAGGGAAAAGAACCCGTAGAAAGTAGCTAGACTCAAAGTATATAAGTAGCTACTGTACTTGGACTTGAACGCATCCCATTTGAGAGGTTGAGGCCAAGACCCGCCCGTTGCAGATTCATAAATGGCCAACGTACTCGACGCCAACAAACAAGACTTGTGCCAACAAGATTTCTTTTCTTTCGACCAGAAACAGAAGCCAAACACTTGTGTAACATTGTGTAACATGTTTCTTTAGTTTCTTTCATGCTACCTTTTTTGTGTCCGCTGTGTCTTTAGGGTTTTGCGCTTGCGTCTCTGATCTTTCTAGGGCACAAGTGGCACCACATGGTGTTGGGCTTACTTGGCACACAGCCAGCAACACGTGTGTCTTCGAACCCCGAGAAGACTGGCTTCTTTTAAAGAAATGCTACGATGCATATTGCTGGAACAATAATATCCCACGTATTCTCGTAAGCTGACAGAACGCTTACTTGCCCAAGGTTCCGAAGAGGCCGATGTCGCAGAACCGCATCAAAAAGGATTTGGTGAAAAGAACATGTCCTTGTGACCAAATTGGCACACATAACATATATAATGTTTTGTTTAGCTATGCTTACCTGGTGAATTTGCTCTTGTTCTCATGTTCTTGGCACGTGAGCAGGAAATCATAAACGCATTCATAAGCGTTTGAACTGGTACTGTTCCTTTTGTCCGTGCAGGTGAAGGGCTCTGCTGGAAGTTCTGAGGCCTTGAGCGAACGCGCCCAGTACATGTGCTTTGGGGCCCTGTTTGCTTTACACATTTTTTTAATTTCCTTCTCCTATACTCCAATTTTAAACACAATGTTTGTTTTTGTAGTAGTCGGAACTGTTTTGAGGCTAAGCGATACATACATAAAGAGAGTCAAGACTTCATACATTGCGCTTTGGCAAGATGCGGGGACAAACTATCTTGAATCCGTGTGCTCGTCGGGAGCTTTCAATGCAAGATGTTTGCAACTAACCTTGCAGTTTAAATAGCAAAGATTGACTTTCATGAAGTTCACCAGAAGTCATTCCTCACTCACACGTAAGTTGCCGAGCCTAAAATTGGTTCTTCGGCCCTGTTGAGACTCTAGCGGCTATCCAGCGCAGTGTGGCTGCAGCTCAAAGAGGCCTTGGCGAGGCAAGGAAGGGGCTGAAGATTCAGAGTGTTTTTGCAACGAAGAAATGGAAAGAAAGAAAGAAAGAAAGAAAGGAAGGAAAGGAAGGACACATAAAGGAGAAAGAAAGGTCAAGAAGAAAGACCACGTCGAAATTGCGAAGAAGAACTTTGCGACTGGGAACGTCGCTTTTTCTACTACAGTATAATACGACTTTATGCTATGTTTTGAGAAAGAGATCGTTGAGATCTGAGATGTTGAATGGTATTGACATGCGACACTCTACCCTTGAAAGGCTCTGAATGTATTTTCCTTAAACAATCTAGGAACCAACTCACCAGTGTGAAGGGTTCTTCAAGCAAGCTAAGCTCACATCGGGAGCTTCCTTGAAGAAACCTGCCGAATTCTGCGTCCCAGCTGCTAGTAGTGTTTCCTATCTAATAGCCAGCTAGCTACTTGCTCACAATTTTTCCCCTGCCTTTCCCTAGTTTTGTTTTTACATATTGTATACAGTATTTGTATGTATATTTGTGTATACACACACACACGTTAATTGAGCAGTCCATAGGAAGGCTGCCTTATCATGTGTGCACGACAGCGGAACCTTTCGATGATCCAGGGTCTGAGGTGAAAAGGGCCTCCTGCAAGGGAGCCCTGGGAGCCCCCGCTTTGACATTGGTAGCGGAGCCCAACCCGGGGCGGGTCACGCCATGGCTGAGGACAAAGCGGTGAAACGTTTCAGCGAGGATGAGGATCCAGGGAAAGCCTTGCGTCGCTGGAAGCAGTGTGCCTTAGCAAAGCTCCTCATGACGAGGGGCTGGATGGAAAATCGTGGGACGCATGCGAGCACCTCACGCTCAACCAGTTGGTGACAGAAGCTGGAGAGAAGAAGCTTTCTGGGAGATCTTAGCTCAGAGACTTCCAGAGAAGGAAGCAGGCGGCTTGCTGGGAGAGGCTTAGCTGCAGGTGACGAGGCCGGCCAGGGTTCGTGAGGTGCTCGATTGATGCGAGTGCCGAGCGAACATCAAGTTCGCGCCAGAGGCTGAAGGGTGGATTGCGCTGCAATGCGCGGGACTCACAGAAGAGCAGAAAGGTGACTGCCAGTCGCAAAAAGCTCGTTTGAGCACTGCAGAGTGAGGGACCTGGGCGAGGGCAAGTCCAAGGAAGAAGAACAGCAGTGCAGTGCAGCCAAGTATCCTGGCATTCAGCGACTTGAGATTGGAAGGGTAGAAAAGAATTGTTGAGTTTTTGAGGAATGTGAAAAGCAAGGCTGCCTTTTCACATGTACGCGACAGCGAGCGGAACTTTTCGATGCGCGAGGGTCTGAGGTGAAAAGGGCCCGCGCAGAGCCGCCACTGGTGTGGCCCCCGCTTTTATATATATATATATGTATACATACATGCATACATACATACATACATACAATTGTCTTAGATTACGAATTACAAGTGCATAATATATTTTCTTCGTCCCTTTGGAAAGAGCGAGGATTCGAGCATCAGAACTTCGTGCCTTTTTGTGCCTGCCGTCTCCAGTGTTTACATCTCAGGTGAAGCAGACCCTTCAAGTGGTCGTGGAGCATCGTTCAGGCCCTACACGGGCAGATGCCAAACCAAGTCACAAAGTGAGCCTTGTCAATCGCAACATCTCACCTCTGCCTGTGCAGGTTCTGGGCACGAGGCTGGCCTTGTTCCCCAGATAGCGAAGCTATGGGGTTCTTACTTCAAATAGCAATGAGTTGCCCGCGCGCGCTTTCGAGACAGGTTGCTGGCGCTGGTGCTGGTGCTGTGAGCTGGCTGTGCACGCGGTGGAGACAGGTTGCTGGTGCTGGTGCCGGGTGCCGGTGCTGGTGCAGGGTGCCGGGTGCCGGTGCTGGTGCTGGTGCTGTGAGCTGGCTGTGCACGCGGTGGGGGCAGGTTGCTGGTGCTGGTGCCGGGTGCCGGTGCTGGGTGCCGGGTGCCGGTGCTGGTGCTGGTGCTGTGGTGGAGACAGGTTGCTGGTGCTGGGTGCCGGGTGCCGGCGCCGGTGCTGTGAGCTGGCTGCGCATGTGGTGGAGACAGGGTGCTGCTGGCTGTGCTCGTGGTGGAGACAGGGTGCAGGGTGCCGGTGCTGGGTGCTGGCTGTGCGCCTGGCGGAGAGGATTTTTGTTCCCCAGAACGCGACCATTATGGGGTTCTTATTTTTTGCAATGGACAATGCGCACATACTTTTGCATGTATAATGTTCTATGCGCAACGTCAGGCTCTCAACCTACCATTATTTCAGCATGTTTCAGCATGCTACACGCACAATAGTCGCGCCGGATACTGCTTGGCCTTGGGCGAGTGAAGCCTACGGGCTTTGCCGTTTGTGCGCATACTTTTGCACGCATAAACTTATACGCGCAAGATCATACGGCCTTATCGTTCTGCAGATCGTTGCTTCAAGCATGCTACAAAGTCAATAGTGGCGCTGGATACTGCTTGGCCTTGGGCCAATGACACTTACGGGCTTTGCTGTTTGCGCGCATACTTTTGCGCGCGCACGCGCAAGATCATACGTTGTTATTGCGCAAATAGGGATAACTATGGGGTTCTTGCTGCAAATAAGAATGAGCTGGCTGCGCGCGCTTTCGAAAGGGTGTCGGTGCTGGTGCTGGTGTTGTGGTCCTGGGTGCTGGTGCTGTGGGCTGGCTGAGCGCGGGTTCAAGACGGGCTGCGGCGCTGGTCGGGTGCTGGCGCCGTTGCCGGTGTTGTCAGCTGGCAAAGCGCACCGGTGCTGGTGTCAGCTGATTGTGCGCGCTGTGACTGTGGAGGTGCCGTAAGCTGGCTGTGCAGGCTGCGTACATTGTTCCAGCCAGTCGCATGTCAACGGGACGTGGGACTCTGCCTAGCTATCTGGGTCTATGCTGGTGTAATTTTTGTATGAAGTGTACGTATGCACGCATGGTGGGGGCAGACAACATTCTCTTGTTCGAGTCCCTGCAAAGGCGAGACATGAGCTTTCTGCGGTGGTCCATCGCATGTCAGCACAAGAGGCAAATTGTTGAATGAAACCGAATGTGTCTTGATATTGATAGGTCTTGATCGTACGAGTCACCTGCGCATTCCTGCAGTTGGCAATCTCATCCTTGAAGAAGCGAATGGAGGATGTCAAAACGTCTTTGGAGGAGAAATAAAGCGCAGAACGGGTGGAATTAGGGAAGAGACGAAGTGAATGAAGATGGCGAAGAGAAAAAACAGGGCCCAAAAGTCAAAAAATAATAGACAACGTCATTCAGGAAACTCAAATCCACAAAGCAAGCAACCCATTGCAAGCTTTGAAAACGCGATTAGAAGGAAGGTTTGAGGTGAATAGTCAAAAGTTAAGTTTCCGTAGGCAGCTAGGAACCAACTGAATAGTGCGAACCCTAGTGCTAGTAAGCAGCCCCTAGTAGCATGGTACTTGTAGAAAACTAGCCCCTATTTATATAGTTAAGTAGCTGCCGGCCGCGACCAACAAGATTTTCTAGCAATGTCGCAGCGAAGAGAAAATCATTCCCCCGAACGCCAAAGTGCCTGCAGGAGCGCCTTGACAAAGCTGAGACCTCCTCAGAGCGAGTGGCTGGGCTCTTCCAGGCACCCAGTTGAAATCATACGAGTGACGTCATAAGTGTTTCAATAAGACATTGAACCTGCAGCTCCGGACATAGACTGGACATAGACTTGACTTGTTTAGGTACTAGCCTCCGATCATTCTTTAAATAGCTGCCAGTTTTAGGGACACTTACTTCTCAATAGTGTGGCTCTGGATCGGCGTTTTGTTTTGTCCGTGCTGGTGCTGGCGCTGGATCGGCGTTTTGTTTGGGCGTGCTGGCGCGGGCGGTGGTGCTGGATCAGCGTTTTCTGGAGGCGTGCTGGTGCAGGTGCCGGCACGGGCGCTGGTGCAGGTGCAGGTGCTGGATCGGCGTTTTCTTCACGCGGGCTGGTGCAGGCGTTGGTGTGGGCGCTGGTCCGGTTGCTGGTGCTGGGTCGGCGTTTTCTTGGAGGGTGCTCGTGTGGGTGCTGGTGCTGGTGCGGGTGCGGGTGCGGGCGCGGGTGCTGGTGGTGGTGCTGCTGCTGCTGCTGCTGGTGGTGGAGTGGCGTTTTGTGTGGTGCTAGTGCTGATGCAGGTGCTGGTGACATCATGTCACGCCAGGAATGAAATCATGTCGTGCCAGGGATGACATCATGTCATGCTAGGGATGACATCATGTCGTGCTAGGGACGATATCCTCATGTTGTCCCTGACAGACTGATGCATGTATTGCCTTGTGGTATGCATCGTTCCCCTTCGTGGATGACATGGACGACATCATGTCATGCCAGGGATGAAATCATGTCATGCCAGGATGACATCATTTCAGTCATGCCGGGGAAGACATCATCATCTCATGCCAGGGATGACATCATGATGCTCAGGAATGGCATCGTGTCATGCTAGGGATGACATCGATTCACGCCACGGATGACATCATGCCTTCAGGCACTACGATTTCTTTTCCTTATGCGCCGGCTATTTGGGGTTTATGCCGGCGTAATTGAGACGCAGGGCAAACTTGTAGGACACATTTTGCACAAATGTGTTTTACTCCATGCATAATATATGCTCTACCCCATCGGTGGTTTTTCTTGTAATGTTGTGACCGTATGTTTGATACCCTACAATGGGTATCCTAAGCCACGTTTTTCAGCACCAACACCATCATCCACTCATCGTAGAGCTGAACAGCAAAATCGAACTGACGGCAAAGACTTAAGCCTCCTAGACTGTTACTGGCAATCCTGTCCTCGAAAGACAAACCTGTAGCAACAAAAAGGGCACACCTGACACCCGGCCTCATCAACCGAAACGCTCTTCAACCAATAGACTCAGGGACAAATCGTGCCACGTGAGCTGCATTTACGTTCGTGAAGACGTTGCCTCTCCTGTTGCATTTTTAGTCCGCGCGCTTTTTTTCCAACATACTCCACTGCTTGTTCGAGTCCATAGACATTTTTCGTTGACTCAAAGTTGATTGCCTTCAAGTTGGTTGGAGTGTTGCAACTCCACGTGTACTTGTTGCCCCGAGACACCAATGAGAAGATGCATTCAAATACTCCATGTCTGTTGAATATCCACACCTGTTGTGAAGCCATCTCCATCGCGTTGAGACGAAGATGTTGTCCAGTCTGAACCTGAATTTGGGTTGTTTTCAGACCATGGAGGCTGCACATTTCCACGTACTGCATGAAGCTGTCAGCGGATGGCTCTCTTTTTGCACGTTGGACATGCAGTCCAGCCTTACATAACCACGTGAACCACGGGCTCTTCTTGAGCCAGATGATCTTTTTGCGGGAAACCAGAAGAGAACACAAGCAGGGAGAACGCAGTTGAATGTCGGGGGTAGCCAGTGATGTCCTTTCTCGAACCTTGTTGCGCTGTGGTTGGGGGAAGAAACAGCATGAACAGTGTTCACGCCCCATGATTTGTTGAATTCCTTTCGTGAAAGCAGTACCATTTAAACGTGCCATGTTGTAGTTCAGAATCGCCGGTTGTACGTGTGGTTTTCACAAACTTGGATACCCTAAGCCTTATGCAACATGTTTTGTTTTTGTGTAGAACGACATTTTTGTAGCTTAAATGAATATGTATCACATTGGCAGAAGGCATCTTCGTTTGTGCAAGAATCATGCGCAATTCAGAACGTATGCATAGAGACCATGGCAACGCGCTGCGTTTAGACATATGCTGTTGTATTGTTGAGAATATTCTTTGGGTGTCTCATGCCTTTGATTTGCGCTCGGGATTCATTTTTGTGGGCACAGGTCTTTGAGTCCTCTATTTCTGCCGGACAAATGTAAAAAAAGATACGTTCGAAGTTGCCAGCGCTTCAATAGGAGCTGCGCCAAGATATGGCCAGGCTGCTGACAGAGGCACTCAGAGGCGTCTTTGTTCCGATTTCCGAAGACGCAAGAGTCGTTGCCAGGAATCCAGTGCGTCCCAAGAGGCCTTGGCTCATTGACTGTGTACGATTAATCTCACTCAGACCAATGGGAGGTGGCAGGGCCTCATGAAGAGCTGAAATGTGGAGAAGTGATTGAACCAGGCTGACATTCTTGTTTTCTTTCGTTCGGAGAGGAACCTAAGATTTGCCGATTTGTTGTGACGTCTTGTTTGTTGACTTTCTTAGGCCCTGTGAGTCTGGTGTGCTCAGAGCCTGTCAAGGTCCGTTCCAGAAAGTGATATTCAAACGACATTTTTCCTTTGGATGTGATGAAACATATGGATAACTCACGAAGGTACGCAGTAAATCTCAGTGTAAGAACAATAAGAATGCACTCTTTCTAGCCCATCGCTATTGGGTAGGAGGCCATCGCTAGTAGGTACCATCGCCATTAAGAATGCGCTCTTTCTAGTGACAGCCTTTCCAATGAAAGTCGTGCAGCACAGTTCACCTGCGTCGAGTCGTCGAGGTTTGCGCTGCCAGCGTTTCTGGTTGTGCACCTGCTATGTCCGCGTGGCCAAGAATGGAGAATGACAGCCAGTCTAAGCAGCATGGGCCAAGTTGGCTAGGGGCAGAAAGTGAAGCTCATGCGGAAGGATGGCTGAACTGTCAAGAAAGTCAAGCCAATGAGCTTGCGGAACTTGAAGGCTGGGTGGAATCTTTGGTCGAAAGGGACCCTGCTGAAAACCTGCCGCCGCTTGGATCTGCAACCCACTCCTCCAATGAAGCAGCACCTGGGAGCGGCTCCGCTTGGCCGGAACACATCCAGGCCAGGTAGGGCGAGTCTAGTGAATCTCTAGCATGGCAGCTCAGTCATGCTCGGCTTAATTGGGCAAACATTTAATCCCATATCCAACAGCCAGGCCTCAGTCCTTCGATGCTCAGGCCTCCAGTGCAGAGTTTCCTGAGCTGGTTGAGCCAGAGGCATTGCAGAAAGCTTCTTCGGCTCGACTGTGGCCACAGCATTTTTTATATGGTTTATTTCAAGACTTTTCTCGAAGGGTCTACATGCTCATGAAAAGAATGTGCTTAGTTGTACAAACGCAAATCACTGGAAACAGGGAGGGGAATTCCCATAGTTGAAGGTCCAGAGTTCCAGCTCTGACCCGAGTGAAGGTCTGAAAGAGGCGAGCCCGAGAGATCTTGAGAGCATCTCATGTTTTTGAATTCAAGAAATGAAGAGTTTCTTCGAATGAAGAGTTTCTTGCCAGAATTTTTTACCGTTTTGTGTCGAAGAGAGGGTATGTGGCCGAACACAAGCAGCTCCTGCGAAGAAATCAGGTCACTTAAGATTGCAGCTGCCAGGAGTCTAAGGCGGAGATGCCCAGCTACAACCTGCAGGATTCAGGCGCTGCCTTGCGCTGCCTTGCTTTTTTCAACTGGATTCACATCGGTCAGACAGGTTCCATTTCTCAAACGAACAGGCATAGTTCCTCATCGTCGGAGATCCTTCCAACCTTTGACCTTGGTAGACTCTGAGGGTGAGTACGATGATGACGAGCCACTTGCATCATCTTGACAAATTGCATTGTGACTCGTGACTGTAATACTGTTTCCAGTAGCAGCTATTATATAGGTTGGAGGCCATCGCTTTTAGTTGCCTCTTAAGAATGTACGCCTTTCTTTCGCAACCTCTAAGGTTCGAGGATGAGGAGTTGCCAGAGGTCCAAAGCAGGCCAATCGCTTCTCTTTGCGAGCATCGAAACACTGTGCAGAAAACCTACCATATGTCTCAAATTCTTGCCATGAAACGATGGTCAGTTGGATTCTGTGCTACCGAAAACAACGGAAGCTGCAACCGGTTCTTTCTCGAGCCAAACCAACACGCCCATGTTTGAGGGCAGAGATCATGCCTTCCTTCAGGCTGCAAACTCAAAACAAAACGTGAGCGAGAAATGCCTTCCACACATACTTACAGTAATTCAATTTTGGCTTCAATGAAAGTCGGTTCAATAGCAGGCCCGGCAGCAAGAGAAACAGTATGCAGAGACAGGCCGAACAGCTGGGCAAGTCCAAGATGGGAATGCGTGTGCATTTTTTGGAACATGGTAATGTTCGCGAGATTGAGATGACCCTATTTCATGCTTGGTCGAATTTTCATTGTTGTCCTTCGTCGGAAGGCTTTTGCAAGGATCACTCTTTTTTGGCAGGGCTATATAATCTTGTGCTCCTATTTTTGTTCGAGAGGACTTGGTCAATGTGGTGATAACAAAGCTTGGCACGTGCCTGTGCAGGACGACGAGGAGCAGTGAGTAGCAAGCAGAAATAGTTGGCGTAAGTGGGCAGCTTGATGACACATCGAATGTTTCGACGGCGGCATCAGACTGAAGTAACTGAAGTATCAAGAATGAAACAACAGTTTAGCACTTGAAAACCCTCAACACCTCTTGAGTTGTTCACGGCCTTTCTTCCGGCCACAGTAAATTGCGCCTGAATTTCTTAGTAACAGGCTGAACAACCTATTTTTGCTGAAACCTTGCCAGGTTTGTTTTCATTGTGTAGTTCAATTTCAAATACATGTATATATATATATATATTTGTTGCTTTGGTTTACATGGCATGCAACCATCATGTTTCTTCTTGCAACTCATGTGCGGCGAACTGCAATTGCATTTGGAAGAGTGGTGGCAGGGAATGGCCAAAGAGCGCCATTCTCATGCTGGCCATGAGCTCAACACGCAATGCGAGGCAAAAACAAAGTGAGGGCGACTTGATGAAAGACAAAGACAACGTTTCTGAAAACTGATGAAGACAAAATGCGCGGCTGATGCCACGAAGGAAAAGCACTTCTGTTCCAAAAAAATGCTTGCAGTCAAAAGGAATCTTTCTCACCCAGCTTCTCCCGAAACCAACTTCATACGCATGATAATATGTTCTTTACCCGGGATTTTCTGTGCTTGGTAGAATCACCAGCCAGCCCCTATCGCCCTATCAAAGCATTTGGCGGAATCACCCAGCTAGCCAATCACCAAAGTACCCAGCGTTATCAGCCAGCCAGCCACTCAAAGTACCGCAAGTCACACATTTTGATTTCGTTATGGATTTTAACAATACAGAAGATCCAGCATGTTTAATTTAGTTGTCGCTGTCAAAGAGTTTCATGTCTCGAATCACTAGAACTGGTGCAAGGACATGCGTGAGGCTGCTGTGCCGCGTTTGAAGGATGCTCTTCCTGCCCATGCTCTTTGGTCAAGATTCCAATTGATGCGATGGGATGGGTTTCTCCTTTATTAACGGCCATAGGGAGAGCCTGCAAGATTAGTACGAGACACTTGACATATTTTGACATTTGTGTTTCCATCAATGGTTCCTTGTGTGGCACTCCAACTAGATGCTTGAATCCTTGTCTAATGTCCTCCATGGGTTTCTCCTTTGATTAGTATCTTGGTTCAGGGATTTTGCATCGGGTTTCTTCGAGCACAATATCAGCGTGATTTGATAAGTGAACGCCTGAAATCTTGTGACATTTCCTCCAACTTTGTGTTGTTTTGACGGATGGACAGGCCTGAGGCATCTGCAGTGGGTTTGTTGAGTCCTCTCCTTTTGTTGTGCACTATCGAAATTTCACATCCCCAATTTTTTCATATTCCAGGTTCCAATGATGAAGCCTCTGCTAAGAAGAACTGTAACTCTTCGAGGTCTGCGTTTGGAGTCCGCTCATTACTTGCCCGGAAGGCCTGAAAATGGACGAAAAAAGCTTTCAATTTTGACAGCTTTCAAAGCTTCCAGAAATGTGTTCAACTTGCTCACGGGCTTTGCTGGAACATCTTTTTCCAGTGAGATGTTCGAAGACATTAGAGCTCTTCTGCCGAAGCCAGCTGTGCAGCACCCTTGTATTAAGACAGTAAGCCAAAACAGAATAAAGAGCGATGCAAGTAACTCATTGTGGGCTTTGACGGTGTCCCCTATTGCACATATATGCACGAGACACAACATACTTCTTAATGACTGTTTCTCCCATATTGTTTGCTCTCAGCTCTAGATGGGCTTGAAGCAAGAAGTGCAAGATGCTTGCGGTTTCAAGAACCAAGAGCAAAGATGCTTACTGGAACCTCAGCCATCGTAGGTGTAGGAACATCCTAGATTGACTGATCTTACAGCACGTTTGTTGCTACGATGGCAGATGCTGTCCTTCAGTGCCTTGGCTGCTTGATGAAGTTAAGTTACTTAATTAGAACCGCGCACAAATACTCCTCAGGGGAATCGTTTAAACGCACAGGAGCGGCAGTTCCATGTTTTCGACTTTGATTCAACCCTCAACGGTTAGGCTACACGAAGGCGTCTAAACAATTTCAGCAATCCGTTGTGCATTCAGACCGGCCTCTCCTTTACAATTTGGCATCCTATTTAGCTACATGTTAACCCCCAAAGAAGGGGGGCCCTGTTCTCTCGCCTATTGGCGGCGATGCTTTGGTGGTCTTGCAACTTTCGATTTCAATGTTCTCCGCCTAGTTCCTTACAGGCCACGCATTTTAACAGCATTGATAGGCCACTTGATTGTGTCATGGTTGAAGGTCGGTGGAAAGACCAGAAAACACCCTGACAATATCTCGATGATGCTCGAGCATAGCTCATTTCCTTGCTTCTTTCTACCGCTGCTCGTTCCTTGTTGCCCCGCTTCTGGCGTTCATTTTTGTATATTTTTGTGCTTTGCTACTTCGCTTCGCAAATGACAAGGCGTCCTGGGGAGGGAGTTCTGTTGTGCTTTCTTTTTCCCTTGGGCCTTGGGCCCCTCTTTTTGTTGCGCGGTTGTTGGTGCTTGTTTGTTCGTTGTTTTCTCCTTTCTCATTGGCTCTTCGGACTTCTCATATGTTCTTTATACGCTCCACTGACGAGTGTGTATGCGCTCGTTTCAATTCCGATATTTACTGTAACGAATTTGCACGTACTGCACCAGAACCTTTACCCTTGCTGGTTGTGCAACCAAAAAGGCGACCTCTTGAGCATTTAATAAAAACTTGATATATATATATGATATGTGTGTAAATCTATCCAAACCAGCCAACCATCCAGCCACCAACTGAACAAACTATTGGGCCGCCTGAGCTCCAAGATCAGGGAAACAAGAATTTGAGCATGCAAGCGCACAAGCGAGCCGACTAAGGCATTTAGGCAACGATGTCATCGGAATGGACCAGGAATCCAGAGAACGGTTCTGACCGAACACATTCCAAATGCATCCTCCTTTGTTTTCTTTTGTCCACAATATTTATAGGAGACAAAGACTCCAAGGGCCCTTCATATGCTTTCCTCAGATTCATCGAGCATCTTATGTTTGATTGTTTGCCTATTGTTTTCCATGTATTTTTGTTTGGGCGAACTTCACTTGGCTTCTTGCTTACTTTTTCCTGAGAGACAGCTAAAGGCAGTAGCATCCTGTAGCTAGTAGCTTACTCCTCCCTTACTCAATGAAGTAGGCGCCTACTGGATTAAGTAGGGAGGGGGGGAAGCGGGCTTGAGCGAGCGGGTGCGCATCAAGGCGACGATAGTTGACAGGATCGAACCACTCTGACACGACTCCAAGGTCAGCTCGGTCAGCACTCAAAGAGGAGCGCTTCTTTGACGGCGTGCAGCTGATCAACAGCGCCCTGGAGGTTGAGAGCGACTAAGTGATCCAACAAGGAAAACCAATTCCACGGATTTGTTATGTTCCTCTGAGATCCTTTGAGAATGCTTTACATTCCAAAAAATGACACATGCTCAGATGTGGTAAGATGCTCGCGGTTTCAGCTGGTTGTTTGGCTTGTGAGTCCCAGCTCACCGAAGACCGTGGCAGGCACAGCAGGCTATCGTGATCAAGCCCGGCTCAGGTGGCTATGCATCTTGGCTGACCACTCCTCAACACTTTCACATGGGTGGCCGTGGGGGCACGGTCAGCATCCACAAAGATCACCAGTAGCTTTGGATTTGGACGCTATATATGTTCAGTTTAAAAACGCAAACGCAACAGGCATTATTAAAAAGTCCGATTTTGCAGAAGTACAATGGACTCCACCAACAACACGGATTTGGATCCTAACTGCGAGAGTCAAGTCTTGTACCGCAGAGGCAACACGATGGTCGACTCCAACTTTTCATTGCAGGAACTCGACAAAGCACTCAATCGCTAATAGTAACAAGGACATCGCTACTAGTAACAAGGGCATCGCTACTAGTAGCTAGAAGCTACTAGTAGCCATGCCCTTGTTACTAGTAGTGATTCACAAATAAACAACAAAGCCTGCAGGGCCCGACAATTGCCCAGCAGAGCTCATCAAATGGTTAGACCAGGACAATCCAGCCAAGCTCCTTGACACACACAACGTATTCTTAGCAACGATGTATCTCCTGAAAGCCTGAAATTGGACAACATAAAAAAATATATATATATATAGTTACCGACAAATATTTGGACCCCAAGTATTTTGTGGCAAAAATGACAAATCATTGCTTAGAACCTTTGAACAAATAGACACACAGAACAGGTGATGAATAGACACATAGAACCTTTTGGACATCGCACACTTAGAACCTGCTGTTAAAACAGGTTGATAGATGTTTATATTTTCTTACTTTTATTCTTTTTTACAGTAAACTTACTGTGGCCTTCAATATGAAAACACAAGGTTAATGAACTGAATTTGAAGCCCAATGATGCTTTCAATTCTGAGCAAGCCCAAGAAAGCTTGCCTTGTAGATAAGTTGACATCATACCAGCTATGACATAGCTAAAGTCTGAACCTTTGTGCAGCATCCCACTTACAACCTCCATCAAGATGAACGCAAAAGATCATGCTAGCAATAATTATGCAACGATAGGAAGTTTGCTAGGTAGATATGTTGGCATCACAGCTATGACATAGCAGCTAAAGGCTGGCCAAATGTTTAGGCTTGGCCACACGACCTGGCAATCATCATGCGCACTGCCTAGCCGGAAGTAGTTTGAGCAACACGAAGTACACGCTAGCAAGATTCTTGTTTTTTGGGTTCTAAGTTCAAAGTGTACACTTAGAATGTTTGCAGCAGTGAACATAGAATCCATGTTTTTCCAAAATAGGTTCTAAGTCCTAAGTATTTGTCCTTGGTTATAGTGTCGATTGAAAAAAGGTGATCGCATTGCTCCGAGTCCTGTACAAATTATTTGCTGCACTGACTACAAAGCGTTTATTGCAAATTTTTGATCCTTGGGTACAAGCCAGTCAATTCGGCTTCAGACCAAAGAAATCGGCTTCACTTCCCTTCGCAAGCCAGTTTCATTCTTTTTGAAACATACATCACATAGACTCATGAACATTTCAGAACGAATGGGAACCAACAAAAACTACTCCAGGTATTGAGAAGGCTTCAAGTTCCACCACGCATGCTAAAAGCCATCTCACACATTTTTGAAAGACCACAGTTTCGTGTATCCGCTGGACACACGGATCTGACTACCTAGTTCAACGTTCCGGAATATGACAGGGATGCCCTATTTATTTGAGACACATCTCAACACGGCAAAACAACAAGAACCAATTCCAGGCATCCAATATTTTGAAATACTCTACGCCCATGACACGCGGATTTTTGGCAACTGCACTTACACTCACCATATCTAACTTGCTACTAAAGGAATAACTTCAACATAATATGGAACTTAATCTGCATATATGCGTTAACCTTACTTTGAACCAAAAACAATCTTCCATCAAATTCGCAGATGGATCCCTTGTACCGCGCAAACATACAGCCACATACCTCGGTATCCTCTTCATAGATACTGTTGGTAACAAAAAAGAAGTCATGAACCGCATCGTAAATTCAGTCCGCACCTGCAACCGACTCCCATTTTTTGGACCAAAGTGCGAAACTCCATTTCATCAACAATTGAAGTTTTTCACTCAATCCATCGGAGTAAGGTTTTATATGGGTTAGAAACCATCCTGCTTTAATTGTTTGCCAGAACTTCAGCGATAATACGCATTCCAGATCAAAGGATCTACATATACCACCCACAAGTGTCGACAGGACAATGACCAAGTAACAAAGGGCATCGCTACTAGTAGCAAGGACGCTACTAGTAGGTCATGGTTGAAACTCAAGATTCAGCTCTTATGACATCATCCGAACAGACCCACAGGATGCGATGCGCCAGGTCCTTTTCCTTACTAACTCACTCATACCTAGAACTGAGGCAAGACGAGTAGGCAAACTCAGAGCCAACTGGCTAATCAAAACATATGCTGATGCTTACAGAGAATGTGGTCGAGTAGGTCAGTCTGACATCAACAGCAACCATCAAAGAAATCTAGTCAACAACTTGGCCCAACAAGGGCACGTCATTTTTTGACCACTTGTCATCCACCTCGTCACCGAAATCTTGATCACCGAAAGTCTCGTCACCAAGAGCTTTTTGACCGAAAGTGGGCATATTCCCGGCCCGGCCTTCATCAAACTGCTAGCTTTCCTCACCCTGTTACTTCTTTCTGTGTTCCTCTTCCTCCGCCCTTCTGATTTTCTATTTGATTGTCCCGCCTCCTGATAATTCAGATGGAAAACAATGGTGCTGCAAGGCTCGTAAGACTCGTAAGTCTCAACTCACTCTGCAAAGCAGATAGCTAACCACTGGATTCTGCACTCGGCTTCGGCTTGTACGATGCAAAAATGCGTTCAGTCTTACTGTTGGGATCATGTCATGTGTGCTGTGTGTTGTATGTTTGGCACTCGTTGCTCAGGCGGCGGAGGCTGCCACAGAAGTCGACAACCAGGAGATTCTGCAAAATCCAGAGTCTTGGCACACGATATTCCTACTACAGCATTTAGTCACCTCCATAAGGCATATCACGAAAGGTAGCCTGCTAAGGCCTAGCTTGAGTTTGCTTTGCGAAGAAAAGGGGTTAGTCGGGACCGCATATTGATATATCAATTCTATTGACCCCCCCTCCAATGTGATGAATAATTGATTCATCAATTTCTTTTGCTGACACACCTACCTTAGTCTCACGTCCATTCGCTGGCAGCAACAACAGTGTCTACAATGAGGTTGCGCAACACGGCTTCGACGTAGTGCGAACAGCTCTTACACACGCCAGCGTTTACACGCCGCAACTTCTACGCAAGCCAGCATTCATGCACCATATCGCGCTCTCTCTATATACACAAACTAGCATTGACGCAACGGCCTCGACAAGCCGTGTTAACAAACCTCACCACACTACAGGGCGCGCGCGCGTGACATACGACTGCACTTGCGCAGCACAATTTGGCAGCAGGCAATTCTTATACACCACGGCTCTCACATACACCAGTGTTGACAAGCCTCCACGTGCGCCACACCACACTACATGTTGTAGCAACCGCTACGACAAAAGGCCTTCTTTCACACACCGCACTTCATACATCTCTGATATATTCCTGGTACCTCTCTACCTTTTGTGTTTCCTTGTCTCAAGTTGTACTTCAAGCTGTTTTTCGTTTGTGCCAACGAGCTAATCATGACCTGAAACTTGACCACTCAGCAGCCTTAGCACATGCCAAGGAAGCGTTCCTGATGCGTGTGCTTTCCTTGGCCGGCATGTGCGAGATTTTGGCCGAAACAAAAAGAGATCTCAAGATCCTTTTAAGCCACATGAGCGACAATGTAAGTACTTGTTACAGCATAAAAGGGCTTTCGACCTTCACCTTCAATCACTATGAGCTTGGCCTGTCGATGTTACCAAGAGCCAGGGAAGGGCTGCTTCGGAGTATGACAGCTGACCCTGTAAGTTTGGAGACCACAAGCACCCCAAAACTCACTCACGATTTCCTTGTAGGGGTCAGGTCTTCATTTTTGAACCGTATCCGTGTTGCTAAATGGACGTATGGTTCAAGGTCATCGAAGGTGCAGGAGAAGCTTTGAGTGAGACATCCGGAGAAGCGAGCATCCAGCCATTTCCACAATCGATTCTCCTTCTGTCAGGAAAGCTGGCGATGCTACCCAAAGGTTAAAATTTCCACAAGATTTGGGAACCAAATCAATCACATGAAGGGTTCTGCAAAAAAGCACCTCCCCCGCCCACATGTAAGCAAATCGTAAGTGGATGCACTGTGTCATTGTGCGACACAACATGGATCAATTTGTTTGCTTCGTTTGGGAATATCCGCTTGTCTTCCCTCCTTGTGGCATTTTCTTGTTCAAAAACAACAATTTTTGGGTAAGTTGAACGGAAGTCAAAGTGCACCACCCAACCTTGAAAACTGGCCCCGCACAGAAGCTCAGAGAACGCTCGATTGAGCGATAGTGCCCTCTCCTTTTTGCAGTGAAATCTTGACACATTTTTCTCCTTCTTGCTTTTTACTTCTAAGATTCTTCAATTTCAGGTGCTGCCTTCCCTCCAATCATCACAGCGTCAGCTTTTAGCAGACCTTTTTGCTTTGCGCACAGAGCCTTGGCGCATTGGAATTTGTGCCCAGATATTTTTGGTATGGCAGTTTGCTGAAAACGCCGTTGGATGACCTTATTGGTTCAGGACTTGCTGATTGGCCTGGGTGCATTGAAGCGGGCTGTTCTCGATATCAGCGCGGCCTTGCAACTTCGACTGGCAAGATATATTTATAATTGAAGGCACTGTAAACCGTGCAGTTGATGAATCATCGGTATATTTATATATTTCTATTTCCAGGTATACCTCTATTGAGGTCTCTTTATATTTAGGCTCGGGAAGAACTTGACAATGGTAGCACAGTGTCCTTTAATTTAACTCTAGATAATGAGCAGTCTATGACCACAAATGAGAATGGCTGCTCAGAGGGTAGCACATTGGACCGAAGCCAAGGCTACTGACACCCGAAAACGAAGCAATGTCAATCAAGAAGATGCAGATCGAAGGCGTCCCATTTCTGCCTTCGATTGTCGTGCAGCACTTTCACCAGGGTCACAGACGAGATATTCCTTTGCACCTACGCGCATCACAAATCTGACTAGACATGAGTAACTGTCCGATGGCTCCTTTTTGTGAGGGTGTGGAGTGTCTTCAGGCCTGCTGAAGTCGGGTGCCTCCAGTGTGGGCTCTGCAAAGTTTGCATCTTAGCCGTGCCATTTGGTCAGAATGCCTGGGAAGTCATTGAAGAAGATGTAATTTAATGTTCTTGCCTGTTTCCCGTGAGGACTCCCACTACGATTATCACGGGCTTCTTGGGTGCCGGCAAGTTCAGGGCTTGGCCAGCTCAGCGTAATTCGGCCTATTGCACACTGATATGTAGAACAAAGCTGCACACATACTGTACTTCCGCAACTTCAGGGCAGAGGCTTCTCAGGGTTGCGTGACCTAAGGACCACCCTGCTGAACTACATTCTGGATGTCAATCATGGCAAAAAGATAGCCATCATCGAAAATGAATTTGGTGAGGTGCCCTTTACAATGTGTCTTCTAGTTGATGCCTTGTCATAAAAGCCAGCACAAGTGGTAGAGTTGTTGATATTGTTTCTTTGCAAGCTTTTCTGGTGTATGTCCGCCCACGTCATTGTGCCAGGTTGGGATAGATGATGCCCTTCTAAACACAAAAAGTGCTGTAACCGAGGCCAAGCTGGCTACGGCTGAGTTTTGGTTTTGATGGTGTTGGTTTGGAAAGTTGCCCTGAAAGCAGAGCATCTTTTCAACCAGCGGAGGGAGTGCCCGCGGCTGCCCAGTTGCAGGAGAACATCATCGAGATGAACAATGGATGCATTTGCTGCACAGTTCGGGGTGATCTCATTGCTGGGTTGAAAAAGCTCCACAAGCAAACCACTGGGAAGGCTGGGCAAATGGTCGAGTCAATTCACAACCGATTTATGTAAAGCGACGACAAATGCTTGAAGCCTTTTTGACCTTAGTGTTTGGAAACTGTCTGGTTGATCTTGTATTTTCACACACCTTCCTTGCTTCAAGCCTTGCTTCCTTCGGTTCTTGACTCGCTTTTTGTATTTAGGGCAAGCCACTCGATGGAATCATCATCGAAACGACTGGCTTGGCTGACCCTGCTCCAGTGGCCCAGACCTTTTTTGCGGATGATTTCGTGTTGGGCCCAGTCTCGAAGCGCACCAAAAAAGAGATGTTTGGGTCCCTTTAATAAGGCCCCTTATTTACTTTGCATCCTTCTAGCCTCAAATGTAAAAACCAGGCCACAGCGTGGGTTAGTGACTCTGTTTTCTTCTTTTTAACATATACCTTTTTACTGTTCAAAGCCCCGTGCCTTTAACTATGTCATGTTGAGTTTGTTTTAACAGAGAGTACAAAAGTGCTGGTCTTTACAGGACTCTGAAACATTTTTCGCTCTCCCCAGTCACCCTGTGGTTTCAAGTTTCGTCGTTTCCGTGTAGGGCGTTTTTCACTCCATCGCTTTGCAACACAGAGCTCCGGCGGCCTTACAGAGATCATCTTTCTGGTTGGCCCGCCACTTCCAAGACATCACACAGCTCATGACCCGATCTTCGTTGCAGGCATGAGCTTTCTTTGTATGAAGCGTCGATGGGATGTACTTCTTTAGAAGCTTCCATTGCCCATTGAGCATTTGAGTGCCAGAACAGACCAAGAGAGCGGCCAACGATCTGAGTCCAATGTGCAGTCCAGGGTGAAGTCCAACAAAGGAGCACGAGGAAACGAATGTGTACAATGCTGTCCAAGTGCCAAACGTCAACAGTGAGAGGCGGGATCAGAAGAAACAGGTACACGGGCCAAACGCAACAAAGTCACACAAGAAAGAGACAACAAAGACTCAACAGGCAGGCTCATGACCATGTGTCACCCACGAGCCGAAGAGCTGAAGACTCTAGGGTGTCACCACTTCGCAACAGACCATCACAGCTTCATCGTGTCTCAATGCCTTCAGAAGTCTTCAGAAATCAAGCTTCAGTCGACTAGTTCACAAACAACGCGCGACGGCCACCCAAAACCCCACGTCAGGCGCACGTGCGTACTCGAACGCTATTAAATTAATGTTATAGGCCACCCACCCACCCACCCACCCACCCACCCATGCTATTTTCTCTGGGGTCGCAAACAACGCCGTTGGCAAAAACAATGAAGACGCTTAGAGGATGATCACCTTGTATTCACACCGCTTCGCGGTCGAAGCCGCCTGCGCGGGTACTTGTGCTCTCGGAGCCGGGATGGAGCGAAGTCAACAGGCCTCAAAGCGTGAGGAGAAGTGTGCCGTGAGGAAAAGACGGTCAACGAAACAACGAGGGGTAGGTGCAAGTAAGAAAGAAATGAACATCTGGGCTAGTTTAGCAGTGCACGATTTCAAAAATGCAGCCTCCCTCCGGCAGCAAAACTGACATCGCGAACGACTTCCTGCGAAGACCGCGCGCACAAACACACGCGAGCGTAACCGACATCATCGATGGCTTGTTGATTTTTCGTCCGTTAAAAGGCGGCTTAAGAACACAGCATTCTAGAGCAAAAGTGAACCTGCCCCAAGCTAAAGCTCAAGCTATGTGCGATCTAGAGCGAAACTGATCTTTTGCCTTCGGTTCTGCATTAAAGTGCTCATGAGCCTGACCGACGAGCAATTGCCACTTGGAGGTTTTTTCACCTGTGCCAATCTGACCGCCCTACACGCTACCAGCCTGTTTTACCCAGGCAATCTTTTCACTCAGGCTTCTTCAGGGCTTGGGGCGATCACTTCAGTACGCGTTTCCCGAGCGTGTCTCCACTTTGTTGGGTTTGTCTATGAGTAGCTCACAGCGAGCGTAGGAGGCTTATGCCAAACGTCAGATAAGACTTGCTGAATTATTGAGCCTGGGTCTGGGTCAAGCTTTTTCAAAACCCACTGGGGTCTGTCGGAGCCTTATATGCACGCACAGCATGCGCCTACAAAACCAGGCTAGCTGTCCCTAGGTCCTTTAATGAGGTTCGGCTTGATTTTTGCCGCCCCCTCCATTTGGTTTCCCTTTTCATTTCTTTTCCCTCTGTCTTTTCATGTCCTTTCTGTCTTCATGTCTTGTCATCTCATCCCTTTCTTTCTTTTGCGCGCGCACTGGTCTGGCCCTTAAGCCTTAGCGTGCACGTGCTCGTACACTGAACCCAGGTCTGAGGTCGCCCAGGTTGTTGTAGTGAGGTTTGGCTCATCTGGTTGTTCCTGGTCACTTGGCTCCTTCTCATCGCAACCACTTACATCTTCGCGAGCGCGCGCTTACACTTGACCCCTAGTCCCCGCGTTTGTGCTCCTCCACGGGGTGCGCCTTTGGAGTCACAAGGTTCCTTTTGGAGAGTTTTCTTTTCCAGGAGGGGGCAGCAGCCCACCCATGAGTCTACTGCCAACGAAGCTGCTCATGAGTTGGGAGGATATCGGAGCTGATCACTCCGACGTACCTGCTTGGTTGTGGCGTTTACAAGCTTTTACTGTACTCGACTTTTCCGGTAAAGTGCTAGTGAGTTCTGCAGATGTGCGCGCACGCCGTCATTTCGACCTGTTCGTCGTATCGTGGAGTTGGAACTTGGCCTTTAACTTCAGGTGCTCAGGCCTCCTTGATTCTAGTTTCTTAGGTTGCCGTGTGGCGAGCGGCGTTTGAGTCAGTACGCATTTCTATAAGTGTGTGTGTGAGCCCTATGTAATCACAGGGAACCAGTTGGTTCTAATAGAGGGGAGCGGTGGCCATTCTTGAAGTCACCGCTCAATGAAGACGCTTCAAGATTGCTGTGATATGCAATCTGGACGCAGATTGCGCGTGCTGCGAAAAGATGATCACCTGCGTGTGTAGCTAGAACAAAACTTCTCTTTTTGGCTTTGGTTCTGCGTATTAAAGTGCTCATGAGCCTGACCGACGAGCAATGGCCGCTTGGAGGTTTTTCAGCTGTTGAATTTCAAGCTTTCGCGATCTCGTCTGGCGTTTGGCACGCCCAGTGTAGCCGTAGCAGACAGTACAGGCGCTCCTTGGCAGTGCCAACGCATGAGAGCACTTGTGGATAAGGGATGTGAACATGTTCGCTTCACGCGTCTGTCGAAGCTTCGGGTGATCTCTGATCTCATTAAAGCTCGATGGGCTGACCACGCCAATGTTCAAAAAAGGGCAGCTGAGAGCTTGTACGCTGGCCGGACTGTGAAACGATTGCGCTTCATTGTCTCATCAAGGGGACCCAAACACATTCGTTTTACCCATCTGGCTGCCTTTCAAAGGGCTTTGCAGCTTTAACCCCCTGCGCGTCGCCCAGGTGAGTGCCAATATGGTGTTGGATGGAATTCTTACTGTGGTGGACGCAAAACATATCGTGGGTCAGCTGCAGGAGGAGAGAACCCACGTGCTGAAGCAACCTCGCCAAGATGTGCCATTCTGTGCCTAGTTGTCCCTTTAAGCTTGTCTGTCATAGGAGAAGCCGCAAGATGCAGTCAATGAAGCTGTCGAGCAGGCTCTTGGATTGACCAAACTTGGGACTGGGGTCCACTGGCTTGACTTTTGAAGATGTGTTGTGATTTGGCCGCGTTTCTGGTCTCAGATAGCCTTTGCCGACCGAATTTTGCTCAACAAGCAAGCCCCTCAGTCAACGGATGGACGTGTTTTCATTTATCATTTTTTGTCTCAATCTGTCATGCCGATCTCGTGTGTTGAAACTTTTCAGGACAGATTTGGTCGGGGAGGCTGACTTGCTCAAGGTGGAGGCCGAAATTCGCCACATCAACAAGACGGCCGCAATCCGGAAGAGCTTTGGCAGCCTCAGATTAAAGATTGGTGACATGTTTTTTTTCTTGGGAACCGTCGCTGGAACTTCCACCTGCAGTGGAGTATACGCCAGGCAGAATCGCGGAGGAAATTGAATTAAATTTGTATCAAATGTAAATTGACAGTGAACTACTACGCAAGTGCGAGGACACAAAATTCCCGTGTGGACATGGACTTCATTTTGGGCATCAAGGCATCGATTGCAAGGGAACCACTGTGTCCAAGTGCCCGGACTCCAGTGTTTTGCTTCATTGGACTTTTGGATTGTGTTGAGCTAACTGTTTCTTCATTGCTTACCCAGTTCAGGCCTTCTCACTGGAAAAGATCCTGATGCAGATCAGTCAAAATTTGGAAGAGGAGCAAGACCAGACTCAATCTGACCGACCTTAGAGTTTCTTCACCGGTTTCGTTTCAGCTTTTCACCAAGGAGTTGACCGTCAGTTTCTCAAATCGCTTGTTCCGTGTTTATATGTCTGCAGGTATGCCCAAGTCCAGGCTGCCGCTTTTGCTGTGAGTATCATTCCTTGCGTTCAGCCTCCTTGCGATTTGTCTCCCAATCTCTTCAGCCCTAGGTCGTCCTTCTGCCTCTTCTCGTCAGGTGTTTTTTGTGTTTGCAAGTTGGTTGTTCTGTCAGAAATTTCTATCATGGCTGCCTTTGGTTTGTTTCCCCTTCCAGCTGGCTGGCACCAGGTGGCAGACGGTGTCATTTGCGTTTTAGGAAATTTTTTGGGCTCGACCCACAGCGACCAACGCGTGGATTCTGCCACAGAAGCCGATTGCGCTCAGCCACATGTGCCCCATTATGCCATTGCCAGGAAGGCGACAGTAGGAACACGGGACGGACGCGCGTCTCTTGAAAACCAATAGTGCGTTTAGCTTGATGTTTTTGAACGCCTTCATGACTTTTATGGGTTTGGGTTGGCAGCTTATCCAAGTGGATGTGGAGACAGCCTAGGCAGGGTGGACACCATCTCGTTGAATTCCTTTCAATATGTTCGAAGCGTGGTTGAATTGGTTTGAGGAGCTGGTAACTGTTTTCTCCTCGGACCTGGGATCTTCTTTGTGCATGCTTTGAAGAAGTCGCCTTCAATGCTAGGAGCTAGTTGCTGAGCATGGTTCGGGCTTTGTCCTCGGTTGTGTGTGTGGTAGCGTATGGTCAATATGTATTCATGTTGAGGCCACGGCGACCACGGCGGCCACGGCGGCCACGGCCATGAAGGACATGCAGCTTGGCTCAGTTCGGTTTTCGATTTGTTTGCCTTCGTGCTTGTTTTTCCATCAGGATTTCCTCTCAGATATTCCGATAATTACAACGCCTTTTCCCTTGTGCCATAGCTGGACAACTGCATTGATTGGCCCTTATCGCACTGCTTTCAGGCTCATAGCCACAGTCATGATGAGGACTGCGAGGAGTGGCAAGTCTTGAAGCGATGCGAATTACAAACCTACCGGAGTGTATCGAAATGTGCGAAATAATTCTAGCTCTCCATTCGCTACTAGGAACAAGTGCATCGCTTCTAGTAACAAGTGCCTTACTAGTAGTAACAAGAAGCTATTAGAAACAAGCTCTCTCACAGGAGTGTGGCCATTCCACACACCGTCGCCATGACTACAGGGTGGTGATCTCGGCCCCTGGACCTTGAGCATTTCCAGCATCGCAGCATCGCCCAGTTGCCAAGGTCAGCTCAGTGGGAATCCAGCGGGACCGAGAAGTGCAGAAGGATAAGCAACAGACTCAGACCGTCTGAGACCCTTTAGCCATATGAAAATAGATCCAAAGGATGTGGATTCACAACGCCAAATTACAGTGGAGAAGCGAGAAGGGCATTGTAACAGAATGAAACAGGTCCTTTGCACACAACCAGACAAACATTTACGCAGGCAACGAAGCGTGTTTGACTACTACACATGTTGAGTCAGTTGGTCAAACATGGTCAAAGATGTTTTTTGGTCAAGGAGTCAGCCACCCACGCATTTTGCAAAACAGTTGTTGTGTTCAAGAGTTTAGCACGAAGCCGATTCCAAGCTACCGAAGTATCTAAAGTGCGCTTGAGCAAGTTGTATTTGGTCAAAACGTAGCGCTTACGTCCTGCCGGTCCACGAGACAAAGACTCAATGCGCGCGCCTTTACCAATAAAAGCTTTTTGCCCGAAACACACAGTATTGATAAGACTTTGATTCTCAATGTGAAGGGCTTTCACTTTGTGGATGCGGCGCATGATGCCTGGCACGGATACAACTGTTGAGAATAAAGGCTCTTCATCACTGCTGTGGGAAGCACAGTGTGTACCCATCGCAAGCTGTAGAAAGAGTCTCGAGGAGTCGCGTTGACAAGAGTCCCGTTTTGCTAGCTTGTGGATCTCTTTTCAGGTCTGGATCTCTTTTGCAGTGGTCTGTACTTTCATACTTGTTTCAGGCTTGACACCTTCATCAGCTGGTTGGTGCAGAACAAAGGGCCTGACCTTTACCGTTCAAAAGGAGCAGGGGAGCCTGCATTGCCTGCTGGTTTCACCTGGAGATACTGTATATGACTTGTTTTGCGGGCCGACATCACTAGCTCTCATTCAATAAACTGGCTTCATTTTGGAACTAATGCGTGATTGTTGCGCAATTTGAGTTCACCCATGAGCCTTGTCGCTGAGGTCTTGGCTGTGAATGGCATGTCCCACAAGTTTGTGTTCCATGCGGTGCACATGCAGCACCTTAGCAAGTAGGGGCATTTGTGGCATCAACTGTTTAAGAAAATGAATCCACCCTGTTGGTTTTGATCTATTCAATCTTATCATGAAGGGCAGGCTTGCTTGAATTCCCGCTTTACTCTGCACATTGTGGCTCTGCGCAATACTGTGTTATAAGTTATAAGTTACAGTATGTCCTCTTTACATCTTTGGTTATTATTTGTCCTTCATATTTGTGCACTTGCAGGATGATAATGTGGGCATGGCACGCTATCGGAGGTTCAGTTCTTCACTGTACCAGAATGCATACATATGCATATATATATATTTATGAGGCTTACGCCTGACAGCCGGGCGCCGGCCTTATGTGCAGGGCTGGGTCCTCTCTCTCTCTCTCTGTCTCTCTGTCTCTCTCCCCCTCTCTCTCTCTCTCTTTGAGACTTGGTGGGGCCTATATTGAGCAAAGTTAAGCTATCTGGTGCGCATCTTGGCCCTAGGTTGGGCCAAGTTGAGCCCATGTGGTCTGTGTTGGGCCTAGGTCGGCCTATGTTAGGCCTATGTTGGCCTATGTTGGCCTAGGTTGGGCCTATGTTGGGCCTATGTTGGCGTATGTTGGCTCCATGTTGGCCTATGTTGGCTTTATGTTGAGCCATCTTGGAGGCTATGGTGGGCATATGTTGGGGATATGTTGGGCTATCTTGGGCCTATGTTGGGGATATGTTAAGCAACTTATGTGCTCAACACACACGAAATGTCGATTAAGCTTGTCCGCGAGGCACGCAACCGACGCCACCGGCGCCCTGTTAGGCGAAAGTCGTGGCCGCCGAAGGCAACGAAACACTGTAAAAAACGATGTTTTTGAACATCCTGCGCAAAAAGCCTGGTAGATACATATAAATCTGTCGACCGGATTCGGGCGGGGGTCGGCCGGGGGTCGGGCGGGGGTTTACCGGGGGTCCAACAAAAGGGTCGGCGGCAGAGGCGGCGAGCGTATATCCAGCCAGGGGCCCTGGAGGCCCCAAGGCCGTGTCCTTGCCGTAGGTAGGAGAGAGGGGGGTGCCGCCCCCGCCGCCGACCTACCGAAGCTACCGCGTTTTACAGTGTTTTTGGCTTGTCCCATTTTTCGGCTCTTGCGGCACAAGATGGGTCAACATGGCCCAACATAGGCCCAAATAATGCTGGAAATGCGTGCCGCACCGGGGTGCTTCGTCTGCGTCGTGGGCGGATGCTGGGCTAACATGGGCCACATAGCCCCAACATGGGCCAACATAGCCCCCAAGATGGGCCAACATGGCCCCAAGATGCGCCAAGATGGGCGTACATAGCCCCCAAGATGGGCCAACATAGCCCCAACATAGCGACAAGATGGGCTAGCATAGCTCTCAAGATGCCCAGATAGCCCCCAAGATACGCCAACATTGACCAAGCTGGGCCAAGAAAGCAACAACAACAACAACCACCACAACAACAGCAACAACAACAACAACAACAACAACAAGGTACAAACAAAAACTGCAACCCCGTTACACCACATCTTCTTTCTTTTTCTCTACAAGGGAACAAGGTACAAACAAAAACTGCAACCCCGTTACACCACATCTTCTTTCTTTTTCTCTACAAGGAGGTAGAAACAAATTCTGGGACCCCGTCGTTGTTTTTTGAGCCCCCCCAAAACAACCAGACAACAAGCGCTCTACTACTACTACTACTACCGCTACTACTACTACTACTACTACTACTACTACTACTACACGATGTGGACAGTGCGCGGGGCGTGTGTGGAGGCGGAGGGGATGGAAACCCGGTTCTCAATCTATGCACTGAAAATCAGTCTTTTCTTGGAGACTCCTGGAAGTTGGTGGATTCCAATGGAACAATATGGTCGATTTAAACGCCTTCTTAGGGTCTATGAAACTCGTCTGAGGGTCATGCTACTGGTGATGCTTTTTGTAACTGGTTAAGTGAACCCTGCAAAACTTCTACTTAGACCTCTACCACATCCTAGAAACAAAAACTGCGACCCCGTGGTTGTTTTTTGGACCCCCCCTTCCAAAAGATGTTGTTGTCTCTACCCCCTCCTAGAAACAAAATCTGCAACCCCGTTGTTGTTTTTTGACCCCCCCCCCAAACAACACAACAAAAAACAAGAAGCAGACCAACCAAGACTTGAGTACCACAACAACAAGAAGTCCAGCTACTAACATCTCTCCAAACCTTCGCCCCTATCCCTAACAGAATCCCATTGAAATCCCTGACTTGCAACTTATGACAACTATGTTGGGCTGCTGTTTTTGTCTCTACCAACAACAACAACAACAACAAGGTACAAACAAAAACTGCAACCCCGTTACACCACATCTTCTTTCTTTTTCTCTACAAGGGGGTAGAAACAAATTCTGCAACCCCGTCGTTGTTTTTTGACCCCCCCCCAAAACAACCAGACAACAAGCACTTTACTGCTTCTACTACTAGTGGTACTAGTGCTACTACCACTAGTGGTAGACACCCCCCACCCGGGACGTCTGGACAGTGCGCGGGGCGTGTGCGGAGGCGGAGGGGGTGGAAACCCGGTTCTCAATCTACGCACTGAAAATCAATCTTTTCTAGGAGACTCCTGGAAGTTTTTGGATTCCAATGGAACAATATGGTCGATTTAATCGCCTTCTTAGGGTCTATGAAACTCCTCTGAGGGTCATGCTACTGGTGATGCTTATTGTAACTGGTTAAGTAAACCCTGTAAAACTTCTACTTAGAACCTCTACCACATCCTAGAAACAAAAGCTGCAACCCCGTGGTTGCTTTTTGGACACCCCCCTTTCAAAAGATGTTGTTGTCTCTACCCCCTCCTAGAAACAAAATCTGCAACCCCGTTGTTGTTTTTTGACCCCCCCCCAAAACAACACAACAAAAAACAAGAAGCAGGCCAACCAAGACTTGAGTACCACAACAACAAGAAGTCCAGCTACTAACATCTCTCCAAACCTTCGCCCCTATCCCTAACAGAATCCCATTGAAATCCCTGACTTGCAACATGTGACAACTATGTTGGGCGGCTGTTTTTGTCTCTATACCAACAACAACAACCACAACAGCGCAGCTTCTGCCAACAACCCCGTGCCCGCCCACCGACCAGTGCCTCACCTGTCCGCGCCGCGCGACCGCCGTCCCGCCCGCTGGCCGTTGCCAGACCCCCATCCTCCGCCGCGGCGACCCCCCCTGCGTCCCCCCGCTGCCCCTAGCCCGCGCGCCCTTTTTCCCTGCCCCCTTCCCTTTGCTTGGGCCCCTGGCCGGCTGTCGGGCGTAAGCCCTTAAATAACCTTCGTTACCAACCGAAGGCCTCCGGCAAGGGAACGTGCGCGTGGCCGGCGCCCGGATTTATGAGGCTTACGCCTGACAGCCGGGCGCCGGCCAATTAGGGTTAGGGTTTGTGCAAGGCTGGGTCCTCTCTCTCTCTCTCTCTCTCTCTCTGTCTCTGTCTCTGTCTCCCTCTCTCGTCTCTCGTCTCTCGTCTCTCGTCTCTTCTCGTCTCTCGTCTCTTGTCTCTGTCTCCGTCTCGGTCGGTCTCTGTCTCTGTCTTCTCTGTCTCTCTCTTCTCTGTCTCTGTCTTCTCTGTCTCTGTCTTCTCTCTCTCTCTCTGTCTTCTCTCTCTCTCTCTCTGTCTTCTCTCTCTCTCTGTCTTCTCTCTCTCTCTCTCTTCTCTCCCTCTCTCTCTCTCTCTTTTTGAGACTGTGTGGGACCTATGTTGCCACATCTTGAGGCAATCTTGGCCCATCTAGGGGCTATGTTTCCCATATCTGGGACCTAGGTCGGGCCATCTAGGACTATGTTGGGTCCTCTTGAGGGCCTCTGTCAGATCATCTTGGAGCACATGTTCCGCCTTTGCTGTTGCCGCGTGCCCAACACCCACGAAATGTCGATTAAGCCTGTCCGCGCGGCGCGCGTAACCGACGCCACGGGCGCCCTGTTAGGCGAAAGTCGTGGACGCCGCCGAAGGCCACAAAACACTGTAAAAACCGATGTTTTTGAACATCCTGCGCAAAAAACCTGGTAGATACATATACGTCCGTCGACCGGATTCGGGCGGGGGTCGACCGGGGGTCGACCGGGGGTATCCCCGCCGTCCTTCAGGGTCGGCGGCAGGGGCGGCGAGCGTATATAACCTTCGGTTACCAACCGAAGGCCTCCGGCAAGGGAACGTGCGCGTGGCCGGCGCCCGGATTATACGAGGCTTACGCCTGACAGCCGGGCGCCGGCCCATTTGGTTTGGGTCCGTGCAGGGCCGGGTCCTCTCTCTCTCTCTCTCACTCTCACACTCTCTCTATCCCTCTCTCTCTCTCTATCCCCCTCTCTCTCTCTCTCTGTCTTTTTCTGTGTCTGTGTCTGTGTCTGTCTGTCTGTCTGTCTCTCTGTCTCTCTCGGTGTCGCGGTCTTGCTTTGTCCCTCTCCCGCGCTATGTCTGTTGCCCTCGCTTTCCGTATCCCTCTCCCTGGCGCTGTATCTGCTTATTCTCTCTTTGTCCGTTTCGCTGTTTCTTTCCCTCCCTCTCTCTCGCTCTGTCTGTCTGTCTGTCTGTCTGTCCGTCCGTCGGTCCGTCGGTCCGTCGGTCCGTCTCTCTCTCTCTCTCTGCCACATCTTGAGGCAATCTCGGCCCATCTTGGGGCTATGTTTCCCATATCTGGGACCTATGCCTATGTTGGGTCATCTTGGGGGCCTCTATCAGGTCATCTTGGAGGACACTTTCTGCCATTGATGTTGGAGCGCGCCCGACACCCACGAAATATCGATTAATCCTGTCCACGCGGGACGCATAACCGACACCGCCGGCGCCCTGTTAGGCGAGAGTCGTGGCCGCCGAAGGCCGCGAAACACTTTAAAAAATGATGTTGTTGAACATCCTGCGCAAGATACATATAAATCTGTCGACCGGATTCGGGCGGGGGTCGGGCGGAGGTCGACCGGGGGTCGGGCGGGGGTATACCGGGGGTCCAACAAAAGGGTCGGCGGCAGGGGCGGCGAGCGT